ATTGATGTGGTTGGATTTATCTTGTCAAATGTGTTTTAGAGGCTCATATGACGTGTACACACTACAAAAAAACGTCTGTTTTGCGACGAATCTACCAACGGAATAACATAAAATATCCGTCACTAATATAATCAGCGACGGGGAACTGACGGGAAATTATCCGTCGAAATAGGGTGGTTGGAAAATCTGCTACGGATATTAGCGACGGATAATTTAAAATAGCGACGGCATGCTGACGGCTGATTTCCGTAGCAAATAGGGACGGATAATTGCGTCGCTAATTTGTGGTGCTTACATTTTTATACAGACGGACAATTCCGTCGCTGATGTTCAATTTGTCAAAAAAAAAAACATCCAGACGTTTCCAAATTCCAATTCTCCCTAATTCTTGTTTCGTTCAAAGCTTTCAAAACACTCTAGCTTCACATAAAAAATTGCCAACAACCCATGAAAAACTTGTTTCACATAAATTCTTCTTTATACATCGAATACAATAATTGGGAACATAGCAAAATAACCAATACTAAACAACAATATTCCAAAGAAACACAACACCTAAACATAAATAAGAGATCTTGGTAGTGTAATCCTTGTGACTGTGAGCATTAAGATCTTTAGGAGTAAGAGATGGTGTCATTGTATTGTGTCCTTGTCCTCCTCTTCACTTTTGCTTTCCTCATCAACTATAGTCTCGGCATTGTACCTGTTCACACATCAATAATATTTCAAATCATTGCACATCCGACCCAGATTTAGTATACTGTATTAGTTATACTCCTACAAAGATAATTTCAACTTCAAAAAACTTAGTCATATAGTACAGTCTATATGACTAAGTTCATCAACTAACATGTAAATCGTGCTACTATAACTGTGCCAAACTTCAATTTTCAGCAACTAACCTGCAAATCGAGCTATTATAACTGTGCCAAACTTCAATATTCAGCTGAGAAACTAAACTAAATGTTATACTTAGTATATATCTATGAGTCGTCATAAATCAATAGTCTAAGGCCGTTGAACGGAATATACACTAAATCAAGATTCAATATTCAGCAAACACTTTGACCTACTAAACTTCATACGAACTATAACCGATTCAAAATATAAAGCACTATATGCAATCCATATTGGGAAACCCTACAAACCAAACATTAGCCATTTTTTATTATAAAAAAAATCTTACTATAGCAACCCATTGTTTCCCACTTGGGAACGACCACCATTCATCTGGTTAACATATATTGTGAGTTGTGACGAAAATTTTGAAAAAGGCCGAGGGTTGGAGCGGTCCAGTAAGGAGAAAGGTTCGACCATTCATCTAATTAATTACATGTTTTTAGTGAATGAAATGAAATTAACAGTACTACTAGTAGTTACACATTTGGAACCTGGTAAATGGAGCTTTAATATCCGGAGGTCAGGCGTTCGGCGAACTGTGGTCGGCGACTCGGCGGATCCAAGTCTGAGCGTTCTTTTACTTTTAGGATAAGAGTTGTGCGACTGGGGCGGTTTATTCTCGTTTATGAAGAAGAGATAAGGGTTCAACATCAATTACACTTACCGAAGGGGTAAGCTTCGACGGAATTGTTGCGGATAAGTGAGACGAATTTTTATTGCGACGGAGCAGGGACGGTTTACCGATGGAAATATTTTGGTAGAAATGTTCCAAAATACCGACGGTTTACCGACGGTCTGTTGATAACTCCGTCAGTGATTCCGTCGGCAATTTGCGACCGCATTTTCCGTTGCTAATTATCCGTAGCAAATTAGGTGTTTTTTTGTAGTGACATGTCCCTATTTTTAAGGGAACTATATGGCTTTTAATTTGCCTCTTGGGATTGTCAATAAGATTGAATATGTTAATGTAACCAATTACATGTGATTGTCAATATACAGAGGTGGCTATCAAGGCAACCATGAAATCTTCCCCAAAATCAATGCCAGTCGTTCCCAATTAAGGTAATAAATAATTTTTTTATTATTTTTTTTATCATAATTTTTTTTATTATTTAAAAAAATTAAATGCTACTCCGTATTTAATTTTTTTGAAACTAATAGACTTTTGTGGAGAAAAAATTAGCAACGAAATCAATAAAAATTCATAGAACAAAACATATGTATTTTAGTATTCCTATTTCATTTTATTTATGTTATATACTTATACTTATATATACACTTAAGTTCTACTTCTATGCCTAATGCCAACGTAATTAATTTTAGTCTCCCTGCATATATGCATGTATCATTGCTTTAGAAAAGAAGAGTTACGGAAAAGACGATAATATGAAAGGGTTAATTGTTGTCTGAAAATAAAAATAAAAATAGGAGTACTAAGAGCTAGTGGGATTCGTGGCAACATTTGTGTTAGAAGCCTGGGGAGTGGGGAGGCTGGAGGCATGAAAGTTTCGAAAGCATTTAGCATATATATGCACTTAAAATATTTGAATAAGAACATTTTAAAAAGGACTTTGAGAGGGGTTTTGACTGTTTTTTGGACATAATAAAGGTTGAGGTGTCTTGTTTTGAACAAAAAATGTATTGCTCTTGATTCATAGTTACAGCAAAATTATACGAGCAACTTCATTAAAAAGGGTAATTTTGGGCACCATTACTTGATACTGTTGATTGAGGAGTCGCCAGAGGACACAATACATGAAAGCATAGCAAATAAAACAAGTTTGATAAGAGTTACTACCTCCGTCCCATTTATATTGGGACGGAAGAAGGTGACACGATTATTAAGAAAAATGAGTTTGTGTGGTTGATATTAATTGATAAAGTAAAAATAAAGTAAGAATGATTTAGAGCCACACAAACTTTGCCAAATATGGTATGAGACAATTTAAGTGGAATTTCCCGAAAAGGTAAAACAGGACAATATAAATGGGACGGAGGGAGTATATGATATAAAATTGCATGTTTGGTTGTCAATAAACTTGCTAAAGAAAAAGGGAGACCAATAAATCCTAGCCAGCAACTTGGAAATTGCCCTAAATATGAGTACATAGGTTTTGAGATTTCATGCTATGTTTTTCTTCTCGAAATATGAGTCATTACTGTCATGATTGAAAAATATTGTTATTAATGACAGTAAATACTGTCATGTTAATGCCTTAACATTGTAACTGCTTGGCGGTAGTGATTTCAACGACACTAAATAGTGTCATATTACTCCTATTTCGAGAATAAAAATATAGTAGTCATATTTTGAAATATAAAGACTTGGTGGCTTTTATTTCGAGAAGTTTCTCCGCCACTTACAAAAGATAGGGACTGAATTTCAATATTACTAAATTATCTAGTTCAAGTAACTCGCTCATAATATTCACTTATAAATAATGAAACTATATATGTACGTAGTATACACATTGATTGCTACAATATAGAGCCCATTTATCTCAAATATCATTAAGCTCATGATCGAATATGTGATTATAGCGGAAAAAGTTTCAAAATACAAACTAATGGACTTGGTGTACACGATACTCCAATATGAGTGTTAAAGTGTAGTACTTCAAATATTTGACAGTAATAATGTCTCCAAGATGACACCAAATAGTGTTAGCAGATTCTACATATTTGTCATTAAGTTTCAGGTTACATATTAAGGTTTTTTTACTTGAATTGATTTGAGTAGATCATATTTAAACATATTAGATCAAATTTGAAGGAAGAGTATACTTAAAACCGCTAGCAATTTTGTAATTTTGGTGAAGATCATGACTTCTCTTAATTGAGCATTGATGCAATTTTGATGAACATCAAGTATGTTCTTTTGATTATTAGGAGCGTAACAATGAGCACAATGATCTCTGTTTCATATCTTCTAATTAGCTTTCTTTTAAGTATTTTTTTGTTTATAAAAAATTCTACCTCTATAATCAATTCTAGTTCATTGTGATATGTGAATCTAATATAGTATAATACATTTGCAAAATGAGTATCAAAACGTTCAAAAGCTCATGTGAGACTCATTCATTTTGGGCGTTATATACTCATTTGTGTATACTCATTCATTTGTGTATGGTCATTTCTTTTACGTGTATTGGGATCAATAGCAGCAAGGATTCCTCAGTAACGAAGTATGCTCCCTTTGTCTGCGAAAATCACATGTCAAACAGCAAAACTGTCTAAGAAAAACAGAAAAAATAAAAGAATGGAAGAATAAAAGAGGGAGGAGAGGTAACTACGCTGGCGAGCCGTTGCGTTCATGCGGGAGGGGAAGCTAGGGGGTGGTGATCGAGCAGCGGCGACGAGCAGAAGTTGGAGGAGAAGGGGGCAAACGGTGAACAATGGTGACAAGCAGTAAGCCCGATGCGAAGCAAGATCGAAGAAGCGTGCAAAAGTCACCAGAAAGGGAAGGGCCAACAATACCTTTGCGCATGATACATCCGGTTGTATAATCAACTCACCTAGAAAAGACCAAAAGAAACTATACTTGTCTAGACCTTAACAATTATTTTTCAAACATTAAATGTCTAATATATTAATAAATAAATAAATAAATAAATAAATAAATAAATAAAAGGAAAAATTGAAAATAATAATCCCAACTATGGCTGGTCCGCTGAAAATAATCTCAACTATTGATTATTTTTGAATAATCTCAACTATATAGACTATCCGCCAATAATGGTCCATGGCCATATATTACCTCTATAAAAAGTGAATTTTAAATAGAAATTAAGCGTAAAAATTAAAAGTTGAGATTATTTATAGGGATTACTTGTTATATCTCATCTCATCCACTTTAGAAACTACAAGAATTTATTCATAGAGACCATTATTGACGGAAGGTCCCTAAAGTTGGGATTATAATTTTTTCTAAATAAAATCCAAATAATGTATAACTATTTAAAATTCAACATGGCGAAACTATTTTTACAATAGACCGGATATGTAAATATGTTACTCCGTATGTTTCAGTTTGCCGTTGAACTTATAGTCGGTGTTAAAACCCCCCCTTTGATCGGTTAACTTTTTTTTAACCTCTCTTACCTCATCCTACCCCGCCGTTCGAGACATACCCTTAATACTCCATGTTCTCTTTGTCAGGAAGTGCACCATAATCAGTCTACAAGTTTCTTTCTTCTTTCTATGCTACTACCTAGTAGCTCCAAAGCCCACGGCGTCGTTTTACAGCTTCCTAGCTAGCTAATGCGAGCTCCATACTTCGACCGCTCTCTCTCATTTCCCCTTCTCTCGTCTCTCTTCATTCAATGACAGTATGGAGCTCTTAAACCCGTGATCCATTAAAGCTCTCACGTTTCCGGTAATTTCTTCTTTATCTCCTTTATTTTCCACTTTCAGCCTTTTCTTTTCAGCGCTTATTAAATCTGTAATCTTGACTATATCTTTATCAGGACTTGTTGCTTCTTCACTTTCTTGGACCGCTGCTTGCAGTGTAATATATACTGTTACAATGTGTGTTTTCTAATTTCGATTTAGATCTTTTACCTACATTTAGGTACCCTTTATTTGTATACTTTAATTTAATGTTTTTCTTTTTCATTTCATTTATTGCTGATAACAACGTTCTGGGACAGTACTATTTAGCTCTGCTTTCCAATTCCAGATCTTCCCTAGATTTCCAGTTCGGATGACATAATTTAGAGCCATTGGAGTTGTGCTTTATGTTTACCGCTCTTTTTTAATGTACTTTTGGGGTTAAGTTTTTTTGCAATGTGCCTCAAGAAATTATGTTAAGAAATGTCGTTGGGATTAAAAATTACTGCGGATTTCTATATTGTTAGGCATGGTTGTTGAAGTATAGCTAGTATTTGGAAAGCCTTGCGGGCTTTCAGCTCATTTGGCATATCGATGATCTCTGTTTTGTTATGCAGGAATTAAGATGCCATACCACTAAGTTGAGAAACCACGATTTCAGTAGGACGACATGGAGCAATATGAAATTCTTGAGCAGATAGGAAAAGGGGCTTTTGGGTCTGCCCTTCTTGTGAGGCATAAACTTGAGAAGAAAAAGTATGAATATATAATACATGTGTTCACTGTTGTTGCATGTTTTGAGAACCCATGTTTGTCTCTGTTTGTGTTGTTTTGGTGCTACTCCATTTTTGGAGTGTGATAAATAATTTCTTCTGTCTTTGCTTTGCTTTTTGGCTCAAAATAAGGTATGTTTTGAAGAAAATCCGTCTTGCTCGGCAAACAGACAGGACCCGTCGCAATGCACACCAAGAGGTGGGTGTTTTTTGCCTCAAGTATTGTCTCCCGCCATAATTTCATCGTAGTTACATTCAATTGATTTTTTAGGTGATCCTGAGAGTTTTATGGTTGCCATGTATTTTTCAAGTGAAAATGTTTTGAGAGAGAGGTGTAAGAAAGAGATTTTTAACTGTAAATAATGATATATGGAATTTTCCCGTGTTGAAGAATTACACAATTTTTGGAAATCATCATTATATATCTGTGTGGGAATATCCAGCTAAGAAAAGTGTCAAAGCATGTGTACTGAGCTTATACATTGTATGCCTTTGGACTTTTTTTGTAGATGGCCCTAATTTCGAAAATGAAAAATCCATTTGTTGTGGAGTACAAGGACTCCTGGGTGGAGAAGGTTAGTGCTGTGACTAACTGTACTATTTTACTTCATGCCAATCCCTTTTAAATGCCTTTTTTTGGATCATCTTCAATTTTTTACTGTGGACTATGGAAGTCCGTCTTTCAATTTTGAAGAATGCAATGCCCCTCTTATCATTGTTGTAGCTGGAGTAGTTTATCTAGCAATTTATCAATTATTTAAAAGAACTGTATCTCTTGTTCATTTATTTCATGGTGATATCATATATGAAACTTTATAGAGTAACTAACAGTATATCACGGCCAAAGTAAAAGAATCTAGTCTTCTTTGGGTTTTTTGTGAAGTGTTTATATCTGTTTCACTATGGATAGCATAAGTTATAATATATCCTGTCATTGATCAGAACTGTAACAAATTGCCTTAACTCTGTGAATCACAATTACCTTACCAAGTTCTGACATAGTGCTTTGTCTTTCAGGGTTGCTATGTGTGCATAATCATTGGTTACTGTGAAGGTGGCGATATGTAAGTTACTTTAGACATAGAGATTGATAAGTTAAAGTAAATTGAAAGTATCAATGTATATCATCATTCTGCAGATATTCTGACCCCTTTTTTCCTCAATTTTTTTGCAGGGCTGAAGCAATTAAAAAAGCTAATTGTATCCATTTTTCTGAGGAGGTAAATTGTTTACGGCTCTCACCTTTTACTTTCATCTGTTAAAAGTCTGTTAAGAGTTACTAACTTGTATTGTAAACTATTTATAGAAGCTTTGCAGGTGGCTTGTTCAACTTTTAATGGCTCTTGACTACTTACACATGAATCATATTCTTCATCGAGATGTCAAGGTTTATTGCACTTTTCTTTCTTCTTGTTAATTGCCTAGATAGTTGGCTTTTGATCTTTTTGAGCTGTAAGTTAGCCACTTGTACATATCTCTCTCTTGCAGTGTTCAAATATTTTTCTAACCAAAGAGCAAGACATTCGCCTTGGTAAGTATGCATATTCCTATTTGTGGATATGTGTCTTAAAGTCATATAGAGAGATAAATTCTGCAAAGCACACACGTGTGATCCTTTTACAGGTGATTTTGGACTTGCCAAGATGCTGAGCTCTGATGAATTAGCTTCATCTGTAAGTCAGAATTGCAGTATTGGTGTATTGACTGTATTTGAAACCTCTACTTTTGGCATTCTATCAATTGGTTTTTGCTGGACTTGTTGCTGCAGATTGTCGGAACTCCCAGTTATATGTGCCCTGAGCTTCTTGCTGACATACCTTATGGCTCTAAATCAGACGTATGGTCTCTAGGTATGTGAATTACATGTCACACAATATGCCTATTTGGTCGCTAGGTATGTTAGTGAATTACATGTGGGACAACCGTATACATGCAAGAGTGGTGGTTCTTGTTTAAGAAATAAGCTTGTGATGCTACTATTTTTACGCTCTGATATCCAAAAGATTGTTTCCTATAGGATGCTGCATATATGAAATGGCTGCACTTAAACCTGCATTCAAGGCATTTGTAAGTTTCTTCGTATTATTTGTTAACTTTTCTGTCCTTGTGTGACCTGCTTTCATCTCTGTGATTCACTGACCTGCTTTCATCTCTGTGATTTCTATGTTCATCCAACAAATGTGTATTATTCCGTATACTATATGTTAGATCTTGTACATCTGTTGATTTCTTTCAACATGGGCACACCAAATAACTTTGATCCCTACAAATTCAGTATTTGGAATACCTAAATTGGAGCATTGCGTACATCCTATGCCTTATGAAACCATATTTATGTTCTGCTTTATGCATTAAACCTTTCAAGGACTGTTTAATACCAAAAGTATTACCGATACTTTTGGTACATTGAGCTAGGCATGACTTTTTTTAGGTAAAAAGTCACGGAATGCTTTTCCAACCTGCTAAAGTCAGAAAGCACTTGTTCAGTGCAATTTTTCATAAGAAAATCAAATGTGCCATTGTTTTGGTCAAGCATCTGGCATTTGCAGCTTTGCTTCTTTTTTTTGGTTATCCACATGTTCAAAAACCTAAATAAACACGACTTCCACCACCTGCTATGTTAGAAAATTTGCATTTGTTTTGAGTTTTCAGTGGGTACTAATTAATGTATACTTGACAATTTTCTCTTATATAGAGTATGATAATATGACTACTGCTTCATTTCTTTTTTGGTCTGCCTGTTGGTTTCCTGTAGATCGTCCTTATGTTTACAATCTATCACACCTGACCCCCGTGTGTATTCAATTATTTTTTGTTTGTTTATATGCGAGTACTTTTATCCTTTTCACTCTATTACTACTTTGGTTCCTAATCTTGTGCTATGAAACTAATGAAGTATCATACTTTTTATGAAAGGATATGCAAGCTCTAATCAACAAAATAAACAAGTCTATAGTGGCACCTTTACCTACAAAATATTCTGGCCCATTGTAAGTCTTCTTTACTAGTACAGTAGATTTTGGCTAAAAGAGATACTTATATCATTTCTTGTATTTTTTATATCAAGTGCTTCCATTGTAGCTTTATTTTCCTTCTCATAATAGGCAATTGGCAAAACTGTAGTTCTCATGGAGCAAGGGGTCTACTACTTCCATCCCAAAAAACATGCTCGTAATACTTAAATCAGTATTACAAAAATATGACAATTTTTTGTGGGGGGTGGGGGGGGGGGGGCAAGGGGCAAGGGGCAAGGGGCAAGGGGCAAGGGGCAAGGGGCAAGGAGTATTAGATTAGATTCACTCCAACTCTATGCTTTATGTCTGTATTACAGCGACCCATTTATAGCCCCAATTATGAATTACCAGCACCCTCAAACATTGCATATGATTGTTTCAATTTAAGGCCTTCTAGTTCAGTGATGGGCCTGTTAAACATTTTCAGAATCAGTTAATTCAGTCTGGAGTTGGGCTTGGTGTCTGACTGTGTGTGGAGTTAGGCTTGGCTCTCATTTTCTCTTACTTTCTTTAGTCTCCTGCTGTGCTCTATCTAACTTGTTTTCCTTCCAGTCGTGGTCTTGTGAAGAGCATGCTGCGGAAAAATCCACACTTACGGCCCAGTGTATGTGCTGTCTATCTACTTTTTGTACAACCGCCTGGGATTAGAATAGAGTGCCATGGGCTTGAGATGATTCCTAATTTTGATTCATAGACTCGTGAATGTAGAAACTTGTCATGTCAATTACAACTCACAATTGTATGTTTGACATGCAGGCTGCAGAGCTTCTTAAGCACCCACACCTCCAACCTCATGTGATTAACACTCATCTTAAACTCAACAGTCCTCGGCGCAACAGTTTACCAAATTACTGGCCTGATAATGATGTAAAGAAATCCAGATTTTCAGGTCCAGAACATTTTCCTAGTTATCAAGATAAGAGATCGTCATATGGCAATGACAGAACATTGAATCCCAGTGTTTCTGAACCTGATCATGATCATTCATTTTCTGCTCGAAAATACTGCAATACACCTAATAGAATGACTGCATTATCTACTGGAAGCACTGAAGGAGGAACAATCACTAAGAAAGTTACTTCAAAGGTTTCAAATGCAGTCACAAACCCAAAAACCACTTTGTCAAAAATGTCTACTCCGAAGAGACAAGAATCAGCACTGAAGCACAATGAGCTGGTATTGTTATTTACCAAACTATTTCCACTTGGTCCTCGTTAACTTCACAACCACTAATGTAAAAGAATGGCATATTGAATAGAGTTTACTGTCAGTGAGAATGCTGCTGCCACATATCTACTTGTATTGATAGAAAATTCGAAAAAATATAACAATAGTAAGAAACTCTAGCACATTTGCACTGTCAACTTACTCGCACATAAACTCTCTCTCTTTCTCTCTCTATGCACACACACACACTCATAGATGCTCTCTCTCACACACACAGAGAGAGAGAGAGATATGTTGATGCTTAACTCATTAAATGAAGGCTGTGGGATTATATTTCAGGAAATATTGAGGGTTGTGGGCTGTGGTGTGGGGTTGTATTATATCTCCTCTATTTACTTCTTTATTCCCTTAAATTTTGCAATGCAGGTTCTGTATTATATCTCCTCTATTTACTTCTTTATTTCCTTAAATTTTGCAATGCAGGTTCCTACTTCAAGAACATTGGTGAAGAGATCTGTTTCCACATCTTGTAGAGCATCTATGCCCTTGACCACCAAAGCCGCTGTTCAAGAGGAACCTCGCAGGGCCAGTCATGGTGTCCTTGATTGCTACAAATCTCGTGATATTTCTGTTAATGCCCCCCTAATAGATAAGATGCTTGAGTTCCCTTTAGCCTCGTATGAAGACCCTTTCCATCCTATCCGTAAGACTTCATCAACCTCCGTGCAAGGTTCATGTGGGTCGCCTGAAGGGAACTGTTCAATTATGAAAGATAAATGCACAGTCCAGACTTCTGACAACAAATCTGATAAACTGAGCTCCACTGGTGGCTGGCAAGGATTTACAAACCCTATGCTGGCATTGGATAGAGAGGATGGAAGTGATTGTTCCGATCAAAATGCAACTGCCGGTGCATCCAGTCGAACCTCGTCAGACCAAAGGCGTCGCCGTTTTGACATGTCTTCTTACAAACACAGAGCTGAAGCATTAGAAGGTCTACTTGAATTTAGTGCAAGGCTGATGCAAGATGAAAGGTTTGAAGAACTCGGTGTTTTACTAAAGCCATTTGGGCCAGGGAAAGTATCTCCTCGCGAAACTGCTATATGGTTGTCCAAGAGCTTTAAAGAAAACACTTGCATACCTGAAGAGTAATTCCTTTGAGCACCCAAATGTCTGAGTAGTTTCTATGAGTACTCAAGGTGTGTAAAGTAGTCTCTGCATTTAATAACAGTTTTAGGTTTTCAGATATTTGTATTTTGTATGCGAAAGCGCTTCTAGAACCTGTTGTTGTAGGTTATGTAGATTAGAACCCACCCCATTTAACTTCATTGTGTCCTGGAAGTGCTGCCTAGCTGAGGAGGAACAAACTTGTGTTGTTTTAGCATCCTTAGGAGTTTTAAAGAACATCATAAAATTGATGGTAGATCTGGCTTTCTGTCTTTCCTTATTGAACAAAGAAGAGTATGTATATTATACATCCGGCTGTACAGGGAGCACCGTTCAGTCGGCCCAGTAACAGGCCCAAGGAAAAAATAGCAAAACAATTCGGTGGCACTTTTGTAATTAATATGAAAATCGCGATTTCTGCTAAATGAGCATTAGTGTACTGTTAATGAGCAATAGTTCAATTTTAATGAGTATTAAAAGTTTAATAATGAGCACCGTGTTATTACAAGAAAGCTGATATCACAACTAAAAATGGTGACATTTTCGTAATTTCAGTAAAAATCACGGTTTTCATTATATGAGCATTAATACATTTTTAATGAACATCAGATGTATTATACTGAGCATTAAGAGTCAAATAATGAGTATTGTGATATCAAATTCATACATTGTAATTTACTTTCTTTTAAAACACAAGTGTCCCTATTAAAATGTTATGACATGTCTATTGAGCATGGATTATATTCTATTGAGCATTAGGAGTCTAACGATAAGAATCTCTAGTTGATCATCTAGACATTTTCATTTAACATCAAATCTCTTCTATTGAGTAGAAACATGGAATTGGGTACCATTGCATGAGCACCCGTATCTATAAATCTATAATTTACCAAGAAGGGCTGCACATTAAATTTGAGAATGTGTACTTCTCGCTGATTTGGATGCATCATTCAAATTGATCAAGCGAGTAAAGGTGCATCCAGTTAATAATTACCCTACTTAATACGTAGTACGGAGTATGTCTTACAGTTTGGTGCTTTTAAATTTTAACACAATTATATTTAATAGTTTTTCAACCAAAAAACAATGGAGAGTTTAACAAGATCAGTTGGAACAATATTATTCATCATTTGTAATCATGAAAAATAATTGCTGAAGGGAATTGCTATTAACTATTGTGATTTCATCACTAACCTAATAATCATATATTTATTACTAAAATAATTGGTTACAAAAATGTTACTAGTGACTAGAGTAGTAATGAAATCATAGTAAATTACATTCAATTTTTAAACTTAAGTTACCATAACATTACATTGTAGTAACTATTAGTCATGTTTTTGTAAATAAGTTTTATTTTGGTAATATTTTTGAATTAAACTCATTTATTGGACAATTGTCTTGTGAATTTGGTCATGTATAACACACATTTTAGAGTTAAATTTGGTCTTGGAAAAACTTCTTATTTAGGATGTTTTTACTTGGACTGTTATTTGCTTGTCTGGTCTAGTCTGGTCTGAACCGGTATGGTCTGGTCTGGTTTTTTTGTATTTTTATAAATACTCAAGTCTGGTCTGGTTTGATCTGGTCTCAGGGGCGTAGACAGGGGGTGGCCGTCCCTGGCCATGGCCCAACCCAAATTTTAAAAATGTCTACATTTTTAGGGTAAAAAATTCAGAGTAAATTTTTTCCCAAAAATATTCTTTGTACTGGTTCAGTGTCCTGACTCCGCCCCTGTCTGGTCTAATCTGGTCTGATCTAATCTAGTCTGATCTGGTCTGGGACAAATTAGAGTCCAAGTAAACATCCTTAGTGTTACAAGGGATGCAGTTCACACGTGTAACTTTTGGAGTTACATGTGTCACACTATGTAGCTTATTTGGTAGTTGTGATTTTACTCCACTCTCTTAAATTCTTAATGATAACTTCACCATCAAAAATACTGGGTCAATATCATTGATTTTGATTTATTTATTTATTCCAATCCTAATTTTTAATGAATTTTTTTTTCAAAAAAAAATTATTAGTTTTTTAATAAGGGACCTATAATGATTTTTAATAATGTTAAATGTTTAAATTTAAAACATTAAATTTCATGGTATTTTAAATCTTAGTTTGATACTCCGTATTACTTTTGTCCCACAAACATATGAGAGGTGACACATTTATAAAAAATGAGAGTTTATGTGGTTAATATTGAATTGATAAAGTAAGAATAAAGTAAAAATGATTTGAAGTAGCAAAAACTTTATCAACTTTAGTATGAGACAATCTTAATGAGATTTACCAAAAACAAAAAATGAGACAATCTTAGGAGGTGATTGAGAGCCCATTTGATAGTATTGAAACTGATTGAGTTGGTTGAGTATGTTGAAATTGGTGAAACTTTGTTAAACCATCAAAATTGCTTGAATTTGGAAATTTTTGAAAATATATAATTAAAAAAATATATTATAAATGAAATATAAAAAAAATTATAACAAAAAGAGTTAAAATATCACTACTCACCAAATTCAACGGTGGGGTAAGGGGGGTCGTACCGAATCCCTACCACTTTTAATTCTAAAATATGGTAAAAGTCCACTACAATTATAAAACCCAAAAATTAATACTTAGGTTAGTTACAAATACAAAATACACAAAAATAAAGGTTCAATTTCCGAAACCAACTACAACCTTCTAGGTTTCTACTACGTAACATTCAAACAAACTAACCGTAATGACTAGTTAGTAACGTACTAATGCCTACAAACAAGTCCATCTTGTTCTAAGAGCTTGTGAATCGTGGTGGTTGAGCTGTTGAGTAGCTGGCGAGAGAAGAGGGATACACTTACGTGACGAATGTATCTACATAGAGATTCCACGAGTCGAGACACACAACTTTGTCTGAAAGTCTTATTCAAATTTTATTTTACAATTATAAAAATGACTAACTACACAATATTATATGAGGAACAAATGATTTTATATCCATGTGGTTTGAATAATTTTATTTATTTTTGTGAGAGATCACTATTGATTTAATTATATCTATATTGTTCAAGTTATTTTAGGAGAATGTGTTATTTTTAATACACATTGTAATAATAATTGTTGTTCAATATTGAATATGACATCAATAGATTATTAATTGTATTTTGTAACATATTAATAATGGAATAAATATGTCGCTACTAACATCGATTTAGTATATTTTGTTAGTCAATAATAATATATTGTATTGGGATACATGCATGGTAATTTACTGATACCGTACCGTTACGAACCGAAACTCGGTATACCGAAATTTCGATAAGGTTTGAACAATATATAAATTTTGTATACCGAAAGTTTTGGTACGGATCACCCCTAATCCAACCTTAAATTTCAAAGAATCCGATGCCCAGCAAACCCACACTTCTCGATCCATTCTTTCCTTTTACAGCCAACTTCCTAGTTTTTCCCTTACCTTCTTCCTCTCTGAAGTAGTTCATCTAAGCGAGCAGATCGAACAAAGTCACAAACACATCACCTCTTACAGTCTCACCCCACAATGGCGAAAAGCAGCGCAGAGGAGGCTTGTGAAGAGGACGTGGTTACACTGACATTGGAAGGGGAGAAGGTTGTAGTGAAGGAGAGATGGGGAGTGAGGAAGAGTCTTATCCTTATGCTTTCCATGTCTTTGACCCTCGCAATGTTTCCTCTCCCAATTGGTATGTTACATTCTGGACATAGCTACAAATGGTACTACCTTCATCCCTTTATATTTAACCATCTTTGACTTTTCCATTTAAATATGATAAAATTTGATGCATTATTTTAAGTGATATATTTATGTAAAATTTAATAAGTTTATACTTTTATAATAGTATTTTTAACAAAGAACATTTTCATATAATTTTCATATTATCTATATTACCGTGTATGAATATATAATCCGTCAAGTTTAACATAGTGTTTGGCTAAATAAAAAGGGATGAGAATAGAATTTTTGGTAAGAATTTCCTAAGTCATATATTTCACTCACTATCAAGTATCAACCAATAATTTTTTTCCAAATAGCTTTAGATCTATTTGGTAAGGTGGGTGGGGAGGAAATAGTAAAAAAATCTCCAAAGGGAATGCAAAAACTATAATCTTGTTCCATTCTAAAAAGTTTGCTGATTTCGTGGGTATTAGAGTTTCGTCTATCCGACTTATTTTAACAAGTATTTTGAGAAAGTACTCAGGATTGTTGTGAAGCCCATTTTAAGGGTAGGGAAACAAAACAAAAATAGAAGGGAAAAGATGATGCGGTAGAAACAAACGTGAAATGAGAAAGGGGAAGAAGATGTGAAGAAAATGAGGCAAAAGGCTAATAAGATGGAGGAGAGTAACGTGGAACAAGTATTAAAAGAAGTTTCAATAGAATTTGATTTTGTAACACGCGAAATTTGTAATTAAAACCACAACGAGTGGATACAAGGCGTACGAAACCGTCATTTAACGGAGGAATTTTTAGTTTTTTTTCATTCGAGTACGTGTGGTACTGCTGGTGGGAGTGGGAATGGTGGTGCTGATGGGAGTGGAAGTGGTGGTGATGGTGGGAGTGGAAATGGTAGTAATATGAAGTGGAATCACATCATTTCCACTCCCACTAGCACCATCCCCACCACCATTTCCACTCCCACCAGCACCGCCACTTCCACTCCCACCAGCACCACCATTCCCACTCCCACTCCCACCAGCAATACCACATGTATCTGAATGAAAAAAAACTTAAAATACTTGATTTCACGTCTTCTTCCTCTTTCTCATTTCACGTTTCGTTTCTACCACATCATCATTCACCTTCTTTTTGTTTTGTTTCTCTACCCTTAAAATGGGCTTCACAACGGCCCCAAATACTTCCTCAAAATACTTGATTAAAATAAGTCAGACAAACGAAGCTCTAATACCCACGAAATCATCAAACTTTTTAGAAGGAACGAGATTGTAGTTTTTGCATTCCCTTTGGAGATGTTTTACTATTCCCTCTCCACCCACTTTACCAAACAGATCTAAAGTTGTTTTAAAAAAATTATTGGTTGAAACTATATGGCTTACGAAATTCCTACCAAGAATGTCTGCCATTTTTCGCTATGTCCAGAGTGTCACATACTAGAGGGTCAAATAAAGCAGACACACAAGTCACATGGTATGCATTTCTCTGGAATTTCACAGAAAAGGCGGGGTTCGTTTGAAATTGTTTCAAATCTCTGCTTCCTTCTCAGACCGGCTGCATTTTTGAAAAATTAGGAGGGGAAAGATCTAGAATCCGTGTAAAGCAGTGGGTCCCACATTTGCACATAAACAACAGTGATTATATTTGTTGCTCTTATACTGATCCAGAGGAAGCCCAGAACAAGAACAGGGCTGCTGATGATGATGACGATAAAGAGAATG